GGGGGGGTAATCTGTAACCTAAGGATATTAGCCTCTTTATCATGGAGATAGAAAATATTGTGGATTAGGGAGGTCTTTGATAGTCCCCGAATTCATTTCATGCAGGACTTACCAAAGGCTAGCTCTCCTACACCGAGACATCACCAGAGAGTAAGAGACAGGAGGGGGTGCACCAGCTCCTGCTGCACCCCCAGGAGCACAACCCATGGGCACAGCAGGGAGCCCAAGGAGGTTCATTTCCCGCACATTGTCCCCACTGAGGAGAGAGGGGAGTGGATTGTGAAGTGTAAAGGGGTGAGCTATCATCTTTCAGACTGGAAGGACTCTCAGTGCTCTTAGGGCAGGTCACGAGAGGGAAGCTATCTCTTAGCTGCCCACCCCCAACCAGAAGAAAGAACAGGTTATCAACTAGGTAGAAACTTACATTGCATGAGGCCTGCTGGTGGTCTCCTTCACATTTACCAGAGACATGGCGCATTCTGGATTTGAGGAGTCAAGGGGAGCTGTAGCCCAAAGCAGAAATACAGGAGACATGTGTGAGACGAGGTGGTGGAGGAGAACTTAGTCATTTTGAAATGATACTAGGAAGGAAGTGAGAAGGTTTAGGAACAGCAAAGTAGTCTCTTAAATTCAAATTCTCATCTTTAGGTCAGGAATCATGTAACTGGATTTGACAGAGACCCAGGGCCGTGGCCTCTGAAGGGGAGCTGCTGGCCTTGGATGTGATGTCAATATTATCAACCAGTAGCACTGTGTTAGGGAAAGTGTCCAAGAAATCCCGCATAGAGGCTGTCACCTGTTTTATGTAGTGCTATTTTCTTATTTACTGGCATGGAAAATGTTAATATTTTCATAACCACTGATCTTAAACCAGCTCCTTTCATGTTTTTGATGAGTATGGGGATATACATGAAAATTAATGCATAATACTGTAATATATGTAAATAAAAGTAATATAGAATATATTTAGATTCCTCCACCTGTTGGCTGTTCCCGATTTTCTCAACTGTTTGGTTTTTCCTAGGACTTTTGAACAGCCCCAACCTGAGGACAATATGGCCATGTTGAAGTGATTGATAACTCCCGGGAAGGGTCCACTCTCCAGCTCCCCCAGACAGCCAAAGATGTGATGCTGAGGTTGAATCGAGAGCTTCTCAGTGGCAACTCAACTTACTTTAAGGACCAGAAAATACTCTGCTATAGGGGTCCTGCACTGGAGGAAGTTAGCACCCCCAGGCCTCTGCCCACTTGGTGTTTCCAGAGGCACATTCTGTCACCTACCAGGTGACAGCTGAAAACATCTCTGGAATTGCCAAGTGTCTCCAGGGGTAAAACTGGCCCCACGTGCAAACCACAGGACTCCCCGTACCCTCTAGCCACCCCCAATGTGAGGAATACAGCGCAGGGCCAGGGTTAATCAGTACCTGACAACAGATGTCTCTGGGCACAGCTGGGAGTTAAGGAAAACAAATGCATTTCAATGAACAGAAAATGAGAGAGAATGTGAATCATTTTGGCCGATTCTCTGATTTTAAATGTCCTGATACTTTGTCTCACTGTGACGAAATAAACCAAACCTATAACAGAGAAAGGCTACCCTGATGTGGAGTAAATCTGCTCATCTGTGCTACTGCTTATCACAGTAACTGCGGGAGTCTGACTGGTGGGCTGTGAGGACCCCACAACTGGCTTCAGACTGTCATTTGGGGCTTTCCCTGTGGCCTTCTCACACCATTTGTGCTGGCCAAGGGGGCTCACCCTTCACCTGAATGCACCTTGCACTTTCCTGCTCTACACCCAAGCTTCAAGAATAATTAAAAAAAAAAAAATCTAAAGTGCTTTTCCTCCTCCCTTTCACTGACTTCCACACACCACAATCATCAAAATCTTGCCCATTTCGACTCATCTGTCCAAGAGAGCCCCCCACTTGGAGGGACTTTATTCCTCCCAGGAGAAGTGATCTTGTTCTTTATGAGTACCTGCAACACTCCATTTATGGGACTTTCATCTACTTAATAATTCTCTGTATTTTTGAGGTTGGTGTTCATACCATCCCTTCATTTCCTGGGGGTAAGGAGTTGAGAATTGTTCATCTTTGCAGCCCCTAGAGAAGTGCTTCTCAAACTATCTACAGCAAAGAATCAGTTCTTAAAAATGTTATTTGCAATGAGAACTAGTTACATAAAGAGCTAGTACTTTTGTGAAATGCAATATAAACAAATTAGTAGGAATTAAACGGGCTCTTGGATGACATGACAATATCTTCTTGCTATAAACATTTCAACATGTGCACTCTCGGTTTCTGTGCGGCTTGTACCAAGCATTCCGGGCTTGGTCCATGGGCCAGTCTGGAAGATACTATGCTTGCATAGAGGTTTTCACAGTAGCTATTTACTCCAATAGTTCTCCAATGGGAGCAGGCAACAGAATCACCTGGAAGGCTAGTAGAAGAGAGACACTGGGCCCCAGCCCCAGAGTTTGTGAACTAGCAGGTCTGTGATAGGGTCTGAAATTTTTCATTTCCAACAAGTTCTGAGGAGATGCTACTGTTCCAGGTTGGGGACTAAGTTTTGAGAATCGCTGACCTGAAGATCTGAACACATGTCAAGTACACTGCCCCCTTGTGGCGGCCTGTCCTCATAACAAGCACTGCCTGATAACAGCAGAAACCACAGCCACCTGCAGCAATGCAGGTGTCTAAAGCAATGGTCACCTGCCACCGTGCTGCTGCGCACTTGCTGAGAGGCTCCACACAGGAGGAGGCCATAAGAAACCAGAGGGCTCATACCTTGGGGATGTTCTGGACCCAGTTCCTCGATGGGTGGCATTGCAGCTGTTGTTGAAGGACATCGGGATGATAGCTGAGGAGTCCCCACAAGTGAAGGCCCCATGGATGGCCTGCATGACATAGATGACTTTGAGGGTGGGGATATGGGTGATGAGCCAGGTGGTTGAAACTGATGCTGTGGTGACACAGGGGAGAGCTCAGGGGGTGAGCTGGGTGGTGTGTGCCCAGCTGGCAGCGATACTGGTGGTGAGACAGTTGGTGATTGTGCTGGAGATGAGGCCAGTGGCAATGCAGCGGAGAGTGAAGAGACAGGTGGCGAAACTGGTGGTTCCACAGACCACTCACATGTAGACTCAGCTGTCTGTGCAGGTGGGGACACAGGTGGACCATGGCCACCACTTCCGTCCCCTTCTGGAGTGCATTGTGTGTGAGGTTGTGTAGACTCTTCCGGGTCAGCCTGCCCTGCTTGGAGGCTGGACTGACTGTGTTCAGGGCATTCGCTACCAAGGGCGAGTTCTATCTGGCAGTACACTTCTACCCGGGGGAACATCACTCTCTTGGAGGGAGAGTTAAGGTAAGCAGCATCTAGGAAAAACAACAGCATGGGGTCAAGAGGTGGCATTATTAAATCCTAGCATCTGGAAGAAATTTGCAAAAATGATTTCCCAAATTCCTTTCATTAATAAGATTCATACTTTCAATGCCTTTTCTGTACTTAGGTGAGTCTCTATTGAGTGTTTGATTGCATGTTGATTTGCTTGGTCAATGGAAATTTATTGAGCAACTATGTGCCAAAAATAAGTGTGAATGCTCCTGGTATGTGAGTTTATGGTCTGGTGTGGGGTGGCACCGACTACCCTCATCTCAAGTTTTAACCAAGACAAGTGCAAGGCAAGGCAGGAATGTAATACCGGGACAGAGAGAAGCAGGGAGGTTTTAGTTGGGAAGGTGTCCCTGAGAGCAACACTGAGTTGCGATCTGGAGGCACAGTTCTCCAGGGAGGTCAGGGTGCTGCAGGGAAGAGCATTTCAGGCAATAGAAACAGCATGCAAAGTTCACGGGAGCTCGAGGAGGCTCAGGACCTGAAAGGTCAGCGTGACTGGGGCAGGGGGGAGGTGTGGGGGCACTGGTGGGGCATGGGCGGGGAGGCCTTAGGGCACATTGCAGCAGGGGTGGGAGACAGCCTTGAGGATTATTAGTTTCCACGGAGACCATGAAGCCTTATGGGCAGGGAGGTGCTAGCCAGGCTCTGACTCTGACAAGATTGCTGAGGCTGCTGTTTGGAGAGTTAGTGAGAAGGGCGTAGAAGACAGAGGGAACTGAAGAGGTGTTTGCAGCTGGCACTGGGAGGAAATAGAAGATTCTGTTTAGCAGATACAATAACTTAGAATTATGACGGATTAGGAAGGGGAAGAAGGGACAGGATACATACAGCGGGATAGGGACTGTTTGCAGAGACCATGACATAGGAGGAGAGCATGGGCTATGAGTTGGTTTGGGGACTTGTGAAGACCCAGGAGAGATGACAGGGGCCAGTGAATATATGACTTTGGATGTCAGAGAAGAGATGAGGGTTGGAGATCCGTCTTTGGGAGGCCCGCCTGTGCATGGAAAGTGAAGCTGGGTGGCTATGGAGGAGACGGTCTAGGGAGGAAAAGCAGAGTGAGAAGAGGAAGGAGCCAGGAATGAATCAGGAGAGGGCACCCAGGGAAAGTTTTCTAAAATACATGAGGGTAGGGTAGATTTAGAGTGTCTTGTAAAGACCCAGTTGAGAGATGGAGGTTGGTAATAAGAGAGGAAAGGAATGATGGGTAATTGGAAAGTCCTAAAGTGGGGAAGGGGTCTGAGCACAGGTGAGGAGCAAGCTTTAAGCTGGTAAAGAGGAGGTCAGAGAGAGGTAAGTCTGTATGTTCAGTTGACAGAACTTTCCTTTGGTGCTTTTCTCCATACTATTTTGACATTTTTTTCAGTAAATCTAGAACTATTCCAAAAAAGAAAGCTTATTGAATGTTGTGGGGGCTGGGCATGAAAAGTTCAAAAGAATTCAGCAGACACTTTACTAAAGAAGGTATATGGACGGCAAATAAGCAAATTAAAAGATGCTAGCACCACTCATCACCAGGGAAACGCAAATTAAAACCATAATAAGGTACCACCACACATCTCTCAGAAAGGCTAAAACTAGAAAGGCTGACAATACCAAATGTTGGTGACAACCTGGAGAAACTGGAACACCCACACACTGCTGCATAGAGTGTAAAATGGGTCGCTGACATTGAAAAACAACCCAGCAGTTTCTCAAAAAATTAAACAGGGCCCTTCCTGTTAGTGCGATGGAGTGGAGCAAAGCACTACAAAGCCGGTCACAGCCACTTCAGTTTGAGTTCAATCCCTGGCCAGGGAGGTGACCCACATGGTGCAGCAGACCTCTCTTGTCTCACCTGCTGCTCCCCTCAGCAGTGTACCTCATCAATCTGCCTGTTCTGCTCCCCTCTCTGTCTCTGGTGAATCCTCTCACTGCCCTGTACCTCTAGTTCTATATGCATAAATATACTTAAAAAAAAAAAAACTTAAACTTAAAAAAAAAAGTTAACCATAAATGCTGGGTGTGTTTTAGTCTGCATGTATCCAGAAGAATTGAAAATAGGATCTTAAAGAGGTATTTGTACATCACTCATGATAGCCAAGAAGTAGAAACAGTCCAAATACAAATTGGTGAATGAATGGATAAAGAAAATGTGTTAAGGCACATGTTATGCAGCCTTCAAAAGAAGTATGTCTTGTCCATGCTACACCATGAATGAGCCATGAGGGTATTATGCAAAATTAAATAAACCAGCCCAAAAAGACAAATGCTGTATGATTCACTAGTGTGGGGTATCTGAAAATATCTCATAAAAATAAAAAGCAGAATGGCAGTTGTCAAAACCAGAGGTGGGAGGAAAAGGGATTATTGATCAAGGGGTACGGAGTTTCAGTTTTTGAGATGAAGAAGCTATGGAGATTGGCCACAGAAATATATGTGAATACACACTTTAAAATGCTTAGAAAGGTATATTTTTGGCCATCCACGGTGGCGCAGCGGTTTGGAGCACTGCACTGTGAAACTAAGCTGTTACATGGCTGCTTCAGTGCCAGTTGAAGTCCCACCAGGGAGCTGACCCACATGGCACAGCAGACTTCTCCTGTCTCGCCCACTGCTCGCCTCAGCAGTGTATCTCAGTAGATTTGCCTGTTCTTCTCCCCACTGTCTCTGGTGAATCTTCTCATACCACTCCACATATCTCTGGCCTACAACTTCAGTTCTAAGCAAAAAAAAAAAAAAAAAAAAAAAAAAAAAACCCCGAACACATCTGTCCTATAAAGCCCACACGTGAGCGTTCACAGCATCTTTATTTATACTAGCCCCAAAGTGGGTACCCACTGGTGTTTGTTGAGCTGGATGGGTAAATGAGCTGTGCTATGTTCACACCATGGAATGGGCTGTGCACAGCAAGGCACTATTTATACCAAGCAAATCATGGGTGAATCTCAAAACATTCGAGCTGCACAGAATACACAGATTTAAAAAAGTATAAGGTTCCATTGGAATAAAAGGCTAAAAATGCAAATTAGTCTATAAAGACAAAACAGGAGCTCAGGAATTGTGATGCTTGCTTCGTGGGAGGATTGGAGGGGAGAGAAAGTGAGAGAAAAACTTATTGAATTGTGGGAGAGCGAAAGAATGGCAGGGAGGAAGGAGGAAAGGAAAGAAGAAGGAAGGTCTGAGCAGGCATGCTCAGATGCAACATGAATACTGTGTTTTGTCTTTATCCTCAATTTGTTTATTTTCTTAAATTTTGTTGTTCATTTTTGCACAGTATCTGGTGTCTCCCCTCAGGTGTGATCCCCATAGTCCTCCTATTAAGGGGAAGGATGTCCTAAAGGAACTCTGCAGAGTCTTGTGGACTCCACCCCCTACTCCAGCTTTCTGAACTCTATCCCCTACTCCAGTGATTGGAAACTACAACTCCCAGCAGTACCAGGGAGAGAACTGCAAGGACCCAAGGGCGGAGCTAGCAGGAATTCTGGGATATTTGGGGGATAAACAGAGCACGATTGCATCTCTCATGCTCTTGCTCCGAAAGCCGCTCTGCTGACCCTGTGTTCAGTCAGCCTAGCCGTGAGGTATTCCAGTTACTTTGTATCCCACTTTCCCTGGGTTGTTTCCTATTCCTTTCCCCTTTTGTAAATAAACATGTTATTGACCCTTTTGTGTGTGCCTGCAGTATAACCGAATTGTGAGCGTGTGGGTGAGGCCCCACAGGCAGAGGGCCCAGTCCACTCTGGGCTAGCCTGTAACACTCCCACCACAGCAGCATGGTGACCCATCACCACAGCCCGGAGTGCTCTTCCTGCCCCCCTCTGACCCCTCTCCCATGCTTCCCTGCTGTGTGCTGCTCAGATCTATGGTCAGCTCCCAAGTTTTGTTTTCTTCCCTGACCTTTTGTCCCGCTTCTCTATATGCCACCTGTAAGTGAAGCCATCAGTATTTCTCTTTTTCCTTCTGACTTATTTCACTTAGCACCATCCTTCCAGCTCCCAGATGAATGTTTTGGATGTGCCATCCTCTGAGTTCCAACCTCACTGGGCACCCACGTGCGCAGCCTGTGTGGGGAATGTGGATTTTCCGGCAGGCCCACACCAGTGCCCTTCCCTGCGCTCGGAGGCTGCTGCAGGGCGGGCCAGGGGCGGAGAGGGTGGCTCCCCTGGCAGCAGGAGTAATTAGGTGGATGGGAGCTCTTCAGAGGGAGGCGAGAGGATGCCAGGATGTGAGCTGAGGGATTGAGGACGACACCTGTGGGTGCAACTTCCTGCTGGAGCGGATCCCAGCCAGAAAGCAAGCTGGAGTTGACTCCTGTGTTCTGCTCCCAGATGACAGGTGGGGATTAAGAGTGTGACTCTGGGCACCAAGCATGATTTCTCAGAATGTGTCAGTAGTTCCTGCTCGCATCTCATTCTGGGAGAGAACTCCTGCCCCACCAAGCCCAAGAGGATTTAGGTGGTGCGGCGGAAGCCTGCACTGAGAAGGCCTTGCATCCTGGCCGGGTGGAAGAGAAAGCAAAAGCAGCCAGCACCAGGCATTTTCTGGTGCTCGTTCCCACCGGGCGTGACTCAGGCTCATTGAGAAACCTGGTCATTCTCTACACTCTGCCTCCGTTCTTGAGTGGATGTCTGTCATGTGCTGTTCAGAGTCACCATTCAGGGTAAGACTGCCTGACGCTCATAGCTGCTGCTCATACCTGTGAAAATATCCACACCAACTGGGGAGTGCGGCTGGCACTGGTCAGAGGGAGAAGGCTCTGGGTCCCTCCCAGGGTATGGAAGAGGGGCTACTAAGAAACAGGGGAGGCTAGAGATACTTAACAACCCACCTTGCAACTCTCCCAGAGTGAGCCCCAAGAGGAGGAGAAAAGTTCTAGGGAGGAGGCAAGTTTGGAGGAAGCCAGGTGTCTGGACCATAACCACATGTGCCGGAGTCTCCTGGACTCGCCAGTTGGTGTCTGTGCCAAGATCTGAGATCAAAACCAGGGAGCCCTCCAAGCCCCAAGTCCCCAGCCTATACCATCACTGTGGAAAAGATGCAGGGGCTCCCTGACTGATGGCAGAAAGAACCTCAGGTGCCAGCCAGGGGTTGGCCCTATTCCCAGGGCTTTGTAGGTGACGCCTGATCTCCATGCCCCATAGACACCCCCAGGTAGTCAGCCTTTGGGGCAGCTGAGCTCAGTTTTCACAGCTACACGGAGTAAAAGTAGAGGATGGGGCAGTTGTCAGAGGAGAGTTAGGGGACAGCAGTCTGTCCTGCAGTGACCAGTGGAGGAGGTGGTGGGATGGGCTGATCATAGCCAGGACACAGCGTGGGCGACCCAAACAGCGGCCAGTGCTCCGAGCATTGTGCTAAAAGTCTGTGTGGCCTCGCGACTTTAGTCTGCACAATAAAACACTGAGGTAGGGTCCATGAGCAGCCCACCTGTACAGATGAGAAAAATGAGGCCCTGGAGTTTACGAGCTTGAGATCACATGGTTATAGAGGTCAGGAAGCAGCATTTTATCCACTTTGCAGATCAGGAAATCAAGACTCAGAGAGTGGAAGTTATTTCCCAGCATACACAGCGTGGGGGCTGGGGTAGGATGGCGGTCTCAGCCTGGAATTAGAGCCTCGGGGAGCCCAAGTTCTTTGTATCCTGTGTTCCAGCTCCAAACTCCTCTTACTGGGAGAGAGGACCCAGGAGAAAGTAAGAATCAGGGCAGGGAAGCTTGAGAAAGCAGGAAGCAATTTTGAAAGAAGAAAAAAAAAAGTAAACATATCCTAGGAAAAACCTCATTCCACCCCATCTCATTCCTAAATTATTTTTTTAACTACATACACGAAACCTCCTCCTCAGATGGCTTATAATAGTGAACATTTTTGGAAATTTGAAGGAGGGATCTGAGCTTTGTATACGACTATGATGGACTATTTCACAACCGCCGCAAAGGACAGTTACAAAGACCAGGTAACCACAAGGAAATAAACACAGGACATTCGGTACGAAAGTGCCCTTTGACCCACGAGTCCCTTTCATGGAAATATGTCCTAAGGAATTACTGCCACAGACGAAGAGTGTTTTTCTTCTCTTTTAATGAAGATGCTGGCCTTGACCTTTCTGGGGTTAGGTGACTGCGTGTGTGGGACCCACGGTCTTGGCCTTTCCCCCTAGAGGCCACAGAGTCTGTGCCGTGTGGGCCATGATTTCCCAGCCCCCCCAGCACCCCTCATGGTGACTCAATATGGTTCCCACAGACTGAGAGCCCAAGCTGCTCACCCTTGTTCTACATTCACCAGATGGCCTGATTGGCAAGAGAATTGAATGGAAGAGCATGAGGTGGCATAGAAATGCAGAAGTCATAGGTGTTTCCTAAATACAACTTTTAAATCCATAAAAGCCCTAGAGCACACTGGCCTACTTCAGCCTAACAGCCCCCTCACCATGGAGATTCTAATTTCTAGTCACAATGGTCTGTTCTGGGTAAGAAGGTTGGGTCTCCTGGGTGGAGGTCTGCTCCAGGTCCCAACGTTTTGGGGGGATGCTCTTCTCAGTCCTTCTACTTTTCTTCGCCACCCCATCTCCACTCCTCCCCTTCCTCGGGCTCCACACAGCTACTTACTCAGCCGCCTCAAGTACAAAACTGCGTCTTCGTACCCTCGGTAGTAGTAATTGTGCAGGATCTGCAAGGCAGGGACATCAAGAAGGTAACTAAGGCCGCAGCAGCAAAGGGCTCGCAGACCTCCACTCAGAGCGGCTACGCTCACTGCTCTTGAGCTTTAGGCAGTCAGCTTTTTGAAATGTACCCTGCAGTGTCCCGCCGCCCACTGTCTGCTAAGAGAGGGGAAACCGTTTCTGATCAGGGGTCTGTAGGGACGCTGCATGCATTAACGTGTGGAACTGTTCACGGGCGGGATGTCGCTGCCTTCGGCAGGGAGGCTGAGAGTTTAGGGCAGACCTTGAGGGGGTGGTTTGGGCCCTCTGAAGAACAGTCTGGAGACTGGTTCAGATTCCAGTGCTGCTACAGGCTGTGAGGCTGTGAGGGGCCCTGTAAAGTGGGGTAATGGTGCTTACTGCAGGGGACGTTAGAGCTTTACATGAGCTACACTATCCACAAAGCCTTTGCTGCAAAGGGTCGGATAAGAAATAATTTGGGGGGCTTCCCTGCTGGCCTAGGGGTTAAGTTTCAGCGCTATCACAGCTAGGGTCTGAGTTCCATCCCTGGCCAGAGAGCTGACCCACATAGTTCAGCAGACCTCTCCTGACCTGCCCGCTGCTCCCCTCAGCAGTATATTTCAGTCAATCTGCCCGTTCTGCTCCCCACTCTGTCTCTGGTGAATCTTCTGGCCTGCACACCCAGTGCTGTATGCATAAATAAATATTAAAGAAAGAAAGAAAGAAAGAAAAGCCAATCCTTAGCCCACTGGCTGTGCACTGCCAGGTGCCAGGCTGGATCTGGTGCTTGGCCCCTGTTCACAGACCTCCACACTGCAGGGCAGAGAGGAAGAGTTCTGTGACCACGCCTACTAGCGGTACTGACATCCTCTCATTTTACTGGGGGGGGGGGAGG